AGAGCTTGCATGCCATCGCACGACCAGGTGAAAGATAAGATGATGAATTTCCCAGTGCACAGCGCCCTCGACAACTGCGCCATAAGAGTCGAGGCAGAAGGCGCATGCAATAGAGACATTTGTCGAGGAATTCTGGACGCGTCCGTCAAATTAAGATAGTAAACCCGGAGCAATGGGACCACGTCGCACAACGCGTCATGAATATCCTTGACCGACGTGACAGACGCGTCTGTCACGGCGTTGCGCTCCCACTCCTGGAATCCGGAGGCTGATCCTTGCTTCTCTTCCACTGTCACCTGTACAATCATCTCTCACGATAAACCTCGCGAATTCGTCTGTATATCATGTCCCAGGTCAGGGCACAGCAAGGCCCGCTTTCGGAGATCGACAACACGCCGCGCGTAAGCCAAACTGAGGCCATACGTAGGTTGCAGGTCATGCTGTCCTATCAGCATTGCATACTGATTGTGACAGGGACGATAGAGACCTCTGCGCTCTGCTCACAGTGTGGCACTCGTACACTTGCGCCGGGCTCGTCTAAATTTTGCCAACCATGCTGCACAAAAGATCAGATGCGCAAGGATGGGCGTCCGTACAGCGAGATAGCTCGGGTGTGGATGCTGAGTACGATGGAATACGAGAAGGACGTGGAAGCTGAGTTTTTGAAGAGGGAGTCTCTGACAAGAGTGAAGGCGGGGTCTATCGACGACTCGTCCATTGTCTCGTCGAACAAGCCAGGTGCGTCGCGGAGTCCCGTCGGGCTAGTCTTATTCTGACTAGGTACCGCAGCTCTTCAGAAAGGCTCGGACGAACCAACATGTTCGGGGTGCTTTGGTCGCATGCTCGTGCCCAAGCCCGGCGGCGTCTGCAGACCTTGTCACGTACTGTTGCGACAGCGCGAACTCGGCGACCGAAAGCCTCTCAGAAATGGATTCGCACGAAGTTAGACGCTTGTGGGAAGGGAGAAATACCTCGCGCACCAGGCAGCTATGCCACTCAAGCCTCGGAGGTTGTACTGGGGAAGAGGAAGGCCGAGGCCATGGACGAGCCGCCAACCGCAATAACGCTTAGCAAATGCTGCACAGAATATCAGACTTGGTCGGCAATGTACGAGGTGCTTACCGAAAGTCTCAGAGACTTCTACAAGGGCAGCAAGCTGTCGAAAGCCTCTACGCCATACATCTACTTCCACGGCGCGTATTCCATCGTTGCTGACTCGTCAGTATCAAACAAGACGCGATCGGCACTCGTTTCTCAAGAGCTCTGAAAAATAGTGAAGCTGCCTCATAGGTAGGTATAAGCACTACTGTACTGCAATTGAACTCGAACGACCGTTTCATATAGCTACGGCGGTGCTTCCCGGACCGAAAGCACGACCAGTTTTACCGTGACATGTCGCTGTGAGTGCGATCTGAAGATTACGGCACGGATGGCTGTTCCACCTGCGCCAGCTCCGAGCTCTGCATCCGCATTGCTGGCTCCTCTGACCTCCATTCACTCCCCCTTCTCTTCAGTCACCACTACGTCTACGCAACCGGCTCCAGTACTGCAATTAGCACCTCCTGGCATCCCCCCACCTTTGAGGAAACCACGACAGGGCACGCTGTCGAAATGGATCCCACGAGAGGGGACGAAACAGCCACCAGTGCTGCAGCTCGCGCCAACCGGTGTCACTATCAACCCCGCTCCCGCTTCCAACCGTGTGGCACCATTACCAACTGCAGTGAAGGCAGAACCCGTCGAGGAGAAGATCAGAGTCTGTGGAGGAGCTGTGCGGATCACCGTAATGGACGACCTATCACACGCGTACTTCAAGGGGCAGAGGGTCGTGGTTGAGGTTTCAACACGAAGGAAGTTATAACAGAATCCTGCGAGCATATAGCTGGTCATGGGGTATGTAACTCTCGTTCGGATACCGGGTCACCACCTATACCTGTACATCTTGCCTAGTATTATTTTCCGATGAGCGTCCAATTGGATAAGTTACGAAAACATTCAGATTAGTCTATACTGCGGCGACAGCTGTTACAGGTGGCGGAACCTCGAATTTTGCAGCCAGTTCATCGAAGAGCTCTGCTTTCTGAGCAACATCCTTGACCATAGGAAATGTCGGATACTGGCCTGAAAGTTGGCTTAACAGAAATGTAAGTCTCGTTCTGAAGAACACAAAGTAGCAATGTACCTCCACAGCTGCTCTGCTTCCGCCTCGCCCCCCTTTTCACGACTCAAGCCGGCAGCAACAACCAAAGCGGCGAGGGTCTCGGCATCCTTCGTCTGCACCTCCTCCAAATCCGACTTCGCTGCCGGGATCTCGCCCTGAAGTATCCTCGTTACCCCACGAGCCGTGAATAGATGCGGCGACGAGAGTGACGGGTTTGCGAGCTGTTCGGTGTAGAACGAGTTGCAGTCCGAATAGCCGTCGCTGCCAGTGACGAGCGATATTGACGCTTCAATGAGCTGCAGAAGCAGGTCGTCCTCAGACCAGCGTTTCGCGCTCTCGAACTCCTTGCGCGCAAGGTCGGGGCGATGTATAGACAGGTACACCTGCACGGTAATTGCGACTGCCTCCATATTCTCTTTGTTCGAGCCCGCACATAGCGTCTCGAGGGCCTCCTCGACCTCACCTGCCCGGGCGAACGCCGTCCCCGCGATTACGCGCACGAGCCATCGGTCCCTGGCGTCGCCTTCAACTTCCTCGCCCTCAATCTCGACGCACAGATCCCGCAGCTCCTCGAGGACTGTTTCCTGTGCTGCTGCGTCCGCCGCACCGACGTACCGCGCGAGCGCAGCCACGGCCTTCAGGGCGACATTCTCAGACTCGGGGATGATGGCAAGCGCAGCTTCGGGCTTGTCTGAGGCGATGTACGCGCGGGCCTTATATATGAGGATCAGTGTGTAATCCGGTGAGTTGGGCGAGGGTAGGGTCAGGTCGATGACACTTTGATAGGCTCCTACATAACGTTGGCTTCAGCACTGCCAGGTGAGGATGAACTATAAATTTCGTACCAAGGAGAAACTGCTGCTTGGTATTGTAAAGTTCTGAGGAGTCCATGGTTGCCAGAGTATGAGTGAATGAGTGTACCGACGTGGAAGCAGCACTGTAACCGTAGGGGAAAGCGAGAGTAAGCGGAGCGGTAGACGGCTCGTCAAATGCGATAAATAAGATTCAAACCCCGCACAAAGTGCAGTAAGACAGATTCTGAGCGGAGGTAAGCAAGGCTTTGAAGGACGCGTCGACATCACGCTCAGCCAACGCGTCAATTATATTAATCTTGGTCCCGGCCAGGTCTACGTAAACTCTCCCCCTACCTCTCCGGGATCGTCACCTATATGAATGGCTATGAATCTAGAACAGATTATCAATCTACTGCATAGCACCAAGATCAAGGAGCGGACGAATGGCGTTGAGCTCCTCAGCTCTCTCTTTTCCGTACCTAATAAAGTCGAGAAGCTCGCGGAATCACAGGATTTGCTGCTCCTGTTTGTAGCTCTGTTCGACTGTTTCGGTTATGAGAAGGGAGCATACACGAAGAAAAGCACTGCAGGATCGACCACGACTGCAGAAAACCGTTTGAAGGCAGTCGCAAGAGTCCTCCGCACTCTAGTCGAGCGGACTTGCCGCCAGTGGAACAGGAAAGCCTTGAGAGTCGCACTTGAACATCTGTTCGAGAACTGCAAGTACAACGGCACTCTCTTTGAACCCACGGCCCTAGATTACTTTCACGCCATCGCCCACATCTTCCGCTTCCGACCCCATGTCGATAATCTCGACCACAGCACATGGATCAGGCTCGTAGACCTAATGTTCAACGTCATCTTGGAGGACCCTTTCAAGACGCGTTTGGAAGATTCCTTGGAATCTCCATCTCGTGCGCCCAGTCCTATGGACGTTGACGAGGAGAAGTCTCAAGACGAGATGACTTTGTCTCCTAAGAAGAAGAGAAGACGACCCGAGTCAACGCCTACGCCTACGCCACGACTAGCTCACCATACTGCCAAGGGTGTTGGAGCAGAAGTAGGCAAAATTAAGCCTGTGGCGGCGGAAATTCTCAAGAGCCTTTTGACACACCCTTCAGCTCCTCTCATTTCTGCAGATTATCCATTTCTGCCTGTAGCGGTCTTGAACCGGATGCGGCGCTACCTCGCTGCGTTTTCGAACAAGGCCTCCCTCCACCGGGAGCTGCTTCCCGCCCTGTCAGTGGTGCTCTCTGCGTGTTCTCTGAACAAGGCCGCGCCAGTCGCACGTTTCGCTCGGGACACGTGGACAGATCTTATCGACCTCTGGAAGATCAAGGATTGGAGAGAACCGCTTGTCATTGTCATCCGCAAGCTCTTCCCCTACCTCACCGTCGATAACGAGAAGTTGGGGAAACTGCCTCCCTACGATGCTAGTCTGCGCGCCCTTCACGACTGTCTCGAAAAAGACACCCACGACGCTAAATACAAAACGTTGTCTCTTGAGTGCCTGCGAATGCAGCTTCTCTCTGAGGCAGAGTGTCCAAGAGCCTTCGTCGCCAAGTCCTTCCGGTACGGCTGGAAGTTCACTTCTGCGCAAGCCCTCTCGTGGGCCTCTCTAGAGCTCCAGGCCGACTGTGCAGCTAAGGTAAATCCACTCATGACATGACATTCAGTTTGGCGTATTAATCGATCATGGTTCATTAGCTATATGGTCTATCACGGTCGACTCTGCATATGGAGGAAACGGGACGGAAACGAGCCAGACGCGAAGACCCTATATCTGAACTGCTGTCCTCGATTCGAACAAGAGTCGACGTTAATTTTCGGGTCGCTCACCTGCAAGTTCTCTTGTTCATCGTCGATAGGCACTGGTCCACCATTCACGACGAGCTTCGGCAATCGGTGAAGGATGCGCTCGTGCAGTTCCTTTCGTACGATGAGCCGGACATCCAATCGTGGACATTTATGTGTCTCGCGGCTATTGCTCACGCCTCCTGTGCAGGAGACGCGCCTGCGCCCTGGTGGGGAGATATCTGGACACATGCTGTGCGTGAAGTGACTATACCGCGGGTCTGCCGGGCAGCCTGCCATGTCGCGCATACGCTCCTTACCCATACAAGGTCTCTCATCAGTCCAAACAAAATCTTCTCCGACATCGAGACTCTAGCGAAAGATTTGACAATCCAAGGACCAACATTCCCCTATGATTCCGTCTGTGCGTTTCTCGCGTCGTGTATGTGGATCGCAAGCCAGGACGTGCGGCTATACCGATTACAACTCGAAGAGAAGGCTTTGCTCTGGTTGCTCAAGACATGGAAACCGACAGATCCCCAGGAGCGCGCGAAGATGCCATCATATACCGTCCACGACATCCACCATTTCCTGGAGGTTGCTTGTGGTGCTAGGAAGCAAGTAGACCTCATCTGCGAGTTAGAACTTCCCGAGTGCCCAATTGTGGACACCGTTGTCGAGCAACACGCCACAGCCGTTATCCGAGGCTTCGTCCTGTACGCACAACTACCACCTTTCAAACACACTGCTACGGTCATCAAGCCCCTTACTGCTGGGCCTTTCTCGATGGCCTCGGCGGAGACGAACAACAAAACTGAAGCGCCTCCTGGGGGGAAAGAACGACGTCTCTCACAGTTCTTCACGGCACACCTAGAAAAATTCGTGCAAGAAGGGGAGCGTGATCCGGACAGCAAGATAAGGGGTCCCGCCATCGAGCGAGTTCGTGTTGCGCTGGATTTCGCTCTCAATGCGCTCTGTTTCGAGACAATGGTATCAGCTCGTGGGTTCGCACCAAACAAACGGACAATGCAACTTGCGTGTAAGGTCATACGCGTGTACATTCCCACAATCACAGATCCGAATACCGACACCTGGGAGGACAGGCTTTTTCTTCTCGCGGCCTTCTATCCTCTTGTCCTCGCTGCGCCACCCAAGGCTCTCGACGAGCCATGGGAGATGATGCTACCCCCTGGCCGGGATTCAGGCATTCGTCAGGACGTGCTCAAAAATTTGTCCAACCGGACTAACCTCAGCTTGCAGAATATGTCCGAGGCGCAACGTGCATTCCAGACGATGATTCTCAGCACTGTCAGCGTAGGTGTCTACGTCCCATTCTGTCTGTTCTTAGCGTCTAATCTAATGTGGTACAGGACACAGACCTAATCGACGAGATCCTCGACACCATGCGGCATTGCCTTCGTGATGTCGCGACGAGTCTACCCAAGACTAGCGAACTCAAGACTAACAAGGGCCTTGATGATCATTACATCCAGCTCACTGGCGATTCTATGGGTCCCGTCGATGCGCACTCAGCGACTCTTCGCAAAGTGGTCAGTGCATGCGTCCGTGCACTGGCAACGTTTCCATTATTGCAGAGCGGCCTACCTGCCCGAGAAAAGGAACTCTTCGAACTCTTTTCTCACTGCTCTTCGATCAGCTTTGTGCTGTTTGGAACAGTCTACGCAGAGTACGTCCTAGACGGCGCCTTACATGTGAACGCGGTCGATCTCTCGCGGTTCTTCGAATTTGTGGAAGAGATTGCGGGAGTCTACGAGTGCAAGCAGGATGATGCCTTCCGAATCATGGTAGTATCGCTGCTGCGTGCTACGCTGGACGTTTGGATCGATAGAACGGTCGACGACGTATTACTGCACCAAGTTCGCGAGCTCTTTAAATGGGTATTCACGATGGGCCAGAAGCACAGCAACATCTCTTGGCGAGCCGCGGATGCAATTGTTCAGTTCCTGGACGATTACCTACGCAAGGACCCATCAGAAAGCTCGTGGCCACTTGCCGACGACGAAACGTCAGAAACACCTCACACCTGGTTACACACACTCGCGGGACACGTCGATATACGGGTTCGTTTCCGTGCGGTGCTAGCCAGTGCCCGGTCTTTCGCCAACATACGACAGCTTGGTGTCAAGCCGATGGACTGGTACCTCTCGATTCGAAATCGCATATGCAACATGGTAGAAATGTAAGTCTCCGTTCTGGCCACAGGTATAATGCTAACTGCCAGTTTTCGTCGTGTAGGTACGAGGAGATGCTCACCCGCTTAGTCTGCCTGGGGAACATCATGATCGTCAGTTCTACGGTCCGGAGAGGAAGCTACTGGAATTTGCTCGAACTATGTTTCTACTCGTCGGCTTATGTCGCACACGTAGAGACTATCCTCGCCGCTGTGTCTCAAAGGCTGGGTCTCTCTGTCGCTTCGTTTTTCGAAACATATGCCGGGCAGATTGCCATCGCCTTGCGCGTCAACAGCAAGGAATTCCTGCAGCTTCCTCCCCATCTTCTGGGATATAGAGATATGAAGGAGTATGCGGAAGCCGCCTTTCCGCTGTTAACTCCCTATAACCTTGCAGCAAGCGGGCGAGACCGGGAAGAAGAGGAGCGGGGCTATCAATACTTCAAAAGTCACTGCGAAGCGCTGAAGAAAAGCTATGCCGAAGGACTTGGTGATTGTCTCGCCGATGTAGTCGGACAATTCGTTGTGCACTGGATAAGCCACAATGGCGGTACGGAAGGCCCCGGATCGATGAGCCTTCTGTCGTCTATCACAGAACTTATTGCTCGGCTTGGTCATGATGATCCCATTGGACAGCAACTCCGACCTTACGCTGATGGCATCCTCACTACCGTTATTCGGACGCTCGACGAAGCGGACTATTCTTCGTCGGGCCCCATTGCTGCTTCTCTGGAGGCACTCCCCGATGCATCGGCAGAAATCTTTTGCTTACTCACCAGGTTCCGAGACGATACGTTCTACGGAGAAGAAGCAATTGTGCCCGCCTGGCGTGCGGATGCGGTCCTGGAGTCATTAGTCTGGTTCGACGATCATGTACCTCACTGGGAGGATGTCGCCATCACATATCACGTATTGCACCACCTCTTCGCCATCCTAGAACGACATCCACTCGTATACGAACAGCTACGATTGCTCAACGCTGTCTGCATGTGGGTAGCTTGCCGACATGAGCACTTCCAATACCCAGCGCTTTTGAAGACATTGTTCAATGGCGCTCTGAATATTTTGGCGCAAAGTGACCTTGCTCGTGGCGCGCAGTCAATACTCGACTGGATCTTTGACCGCCTAAATTTATACAGAGCGTCGGAGCTCAACCTCAGACTGGCCGAAGGTCTGCTTCGCATTGGATGTGTCGCGCACGAGTTTGTACCAAGCGACGTCCCTGATACCTCACTCATGGGAGAAGATCTTCTGCAATGGATCGAGCAGAAACTGTTTGACCTTCATCGAATTGCGGGGCAGGAGGATGTGGTGCTTGAGGCGCTTGCTGCTTGGCCTCGCGACTTGAACGACTCGCTCAAACAGCTCTTGGGTCACATCGGCACGACCGATCTTTCGAGGTATCTGCGAGATGATAGCGTCTCCACGAACAAGTTTCGCCTAGTCCGTCGGTTGCACGACCTTGCTGTCGAGAACCCGCGTGGCTCTAGCCGCTTCGCCCAGTCTGATTTCTGGAGACTGAAGTCGTGTATCCCTACAGGTGGCTTTCTCGCTTCAAGTGACGTGCACGCATTTGCAGAGCTACTTCTCTCTAATCAGGGTCGTATCGATGGGCTCGAGTACGAGGCACCCAATGCACCCTCTGCAAGATCGCAGCATCTCAGTTCTAACCCGCAGAACTCCACCTACCACGCTGCGCAAGTCGGGGCACGAAAGGCAATATTCGTGTCATTGTTGAACATGCTCCATGATCCCTCCACCTCCCGAGCCTATCTTGCATTCAAGACGGTACGATCTCTGGCTGTCGCGGCGGGTTCCGATGTCACCGGTACAGCTTCCTGGCCACCAGGCTACAAAGCAGAGCTATCATATCTGCAAGCATATTCGACCCCGTCCTCTCTACCCCCCTCGAGAACGCTCGCCGAAGTCTTTGCCCCAGAGCCTGCTCTAGAGCTCGCCAGGAACTTTCCTAATTGGATCAAGTTCATTACAAGCGCAATCTGCGATTTTCTCGCTGCCAAGGAGTCGTTCTATATATCACTTTCGGCAGCACTCCGTAGTGATGCTCGTCTCGCGGAAGAAGTTCTCCCGGTGTTAGTGCATATCGCTCTTGGGCGTGAGTGGGAGCGACGAAGGCATAAGACTGACCCCGCTCCAAACCGAACTGCTCTCTCGGAATATTTCACACGCATCTTGACCTCCCCTGTCTCCTCCGTACCTTGCCGACGCGTTATCGTTGACGTCGTGCTGCACCTTCGCCAACTGAAGCGCTCTGAACGAGACGATCCACTGAGCCACGAGCGATGGTTGGATCTCGACTTCATCCTGTTGAGCCAAAGTGCCATCTCCTACGGAGCTTATACGACCGCGCTGCTATTCACCGAACTCGCTGCAGAGTCCTCGGATCAGTCCTGTAGCGGATCCACCTCGGTCGAACAAGTGTTATACGAGATATACGGCCACATCGACGAACCTGACGGCTTCTATGGCATCAAGTCACTGGACCCCCACAACATCCTGCTAAAGCGATTTCACCACGAAAACCAATGGCAGAAGGCCTTCCAGTTCCATGGGGCGTCTATTGACGACCATTTTTCGGAAGGAAACGATGTACGAGGTGTCTTGCAGGCGCTACACTCGTTTGGCTTCAATCAGCTCGCTTTAACGACTCTACAAGCCGTCCCTGAAGCAAGTGACGACCTCACTTTGGGGCTGATGGCTTATGCTTTAGGCTGGCGCACGGGGACGTGGGATCTTCCTGAACATTCAGGAGATCAAAAGGTTGCTCTGTACGCTGCGCTAAGAGCAGTGCACCGAGAACGCGATGACAGGGTAGTAGAGGCCTCTCTCCAGCGCACTCTGACCGAGGAAATGTCTCGCCTGCGCAGCCTGGCCGACGAAAACATTGCGGAGATACGAGAGGTGGCGCAAAACCTTATGTGCTTGAACGAGATACGGCGCTGGAGGGGTGAAGAGTTTCAGAGCCAGCTGCAGGCCAAAAGCATCGATCCGACTGTTGCAGCCGAGCTTGGCGACCTTGAACTAGATATTGAGTGAGTGCCGCGGGATCGTCTACATTACGAAAGACTGACTCACGTGTGTAGATACCCATTCCTGGAGGCACTGATTGCAACACGCGTCTCTTTGCTCCATTCGGCCAGGTATAGGGAGGAACGCGATCAGATTGGCGATGTTCGACACCCTTTCGTGCGAGGCCTCGTAGATGTGGAGACCAGCTGCCTCCTACGCCTGTCTGAAGCATCGCGCAAGGTCGACAATGTCCAAATCGCGCTCAATTCAGTTGTTCGAGCGCAGAAGCTCTGCTCGTCGCCGCGCTTCGACGTTTCCTATGAGTATGCGCACGTCCTTTGGCTGTCCCATGAACCGAGGTCCGCCGTGCAATACCTGAACACCTTGCTCGGCACTTCAGTTCCTGGATTCCCGGCGCTGGATACCTTAGATACAGCCAAAAAAGCATTAGCCTACGCCACCCTTGTAAGTCTTAATCCATATTCCCCACGGCATATTCTAATAATTCTTGTCAGGGCACTTGGGCATCCGAAGCCTGCCTAGAGAAACCGGCTTATATTATGACTCAGTACTTCAACGAAGCCGCTAATCTTGCTTTGAGTGGAACTTCGAATGCGAGCGCGAAGGCTGGTAGTCTCTCCGCGTCTGTTTTGCACCAATATGCCATATTCGCCGAACGGCAGTATACTTCTATCGTGAAGTCTCCGGATGCGTTCCGTTGGCGCGTTTACAAAGGACGCAAGGAAGAGGAACTCAGACATTGGAAGGAGCGTATCGCGAAAGAGCCATCGAACAGCACAGAACTCAAGAGGATGCAGTCGAAAGCGCAGAAAATCCTAGACGAAGATCTTGCTCGTTTGCAGGAATACGCCCAGCAGCGCGACATGTTCCTCAGACAGGCGCTGAACATGTACTCTCGCACGCTGCAAATCTCCGACGAATTCGACGACGACTCAATGATCCGCTTCTGTTCCCTTTGGTTTGCCAACTTCGACCGTATGGATGATAACTTCCAAGGCCTCATCGCACAGACGGCGAAACGTATACCGTCTCGAAAGTTTGTCTTCCTGACCCACCAACTGGCTGCACGTCTCTCCAAGTCGGATAAGGATCCGCAAATGCCACAGCCGCCACAGCAAGTCAATCTACGTAGCGTAGTCTTGCGCATGTGCCGGGAGCATCCATTCCACACTTTGTATTCCGTCTTCTGCTTGCAAGGCGACAACAAGCCAAGCGCTTCCAGAAGACAATCAAGTCGACATGACCCCACGTCCTCTCAGGCCGAACGAACCGCTGCTGCTTTAGACATCTTCCAATCCCTTCTTTCAGATTCTCGTTGCCAGGAACGGGTCAAGGCTGTCGACCTGATTTGTAGAGCGTCTTTGGAATGGGCACAATATCCCATCAAGAGCGAACATGCAGCCGCAATGGAAGCTCATCGGCCACGGCCGTCTCAGATTCCCTTGAAGCTGCAGATTCTCTCTGTCAAGGATGTCAAGGTCCCGGTTATCACGGCTCCTCTCCCTGTTGATGTTACTTGCAGATACGACAATTTTGTCTGGATATCTCGATTTGAAGATCGCTACAGCATAGCCGGTGGGATCAACGTACCCAAAATCACGAATTGCGTTGGAAGTGATGGTAATCGATACAAGCAGCTGGTAAGTTAGGTATTATTGGAGTACACCGCAGTTGCTTATGGTTTTTCTACAGTACAAGGGCGAAGGTGGTGACGACCTTCGTCAAGATGCCGTTATGGAGCAAGTCTTCGATCTCGTGAATGTCGTACTGCGCCACGACCGTCAGACCTTGCGGCGCAAGCTTCGCATCAGAGGCTACAAAGTCATACCCCTCGCTTCCCAAGCCGGCGTTCTGGAGTTCGTTCAGAATACTCAGCCGCTGAAGACCTGGTTGGAATTGGCTCACCCGAGGTGTGTGGTTGTTGATACAGGCTTGCTCATACCGTTCCTACCTCTTTCCAGGTACCGACCTGAAGACATCTCACCTGGTAAATTCTCCACGCAGCTCCGTGAAGCCGCACATGGCAAAAAGGCGGTAGACAAGGAGCAACAAGAGCGGATGTTCACCCTATTCAAAAGCCTTCGCACTAAGTTCAAGCCGGTCATGAGGCATTTCTTTACGGAACATCATAAGGTGCCAATCGTATGGTTCCGGACCCGTCTTAACTACGCACGCAGCGTCGCAACTACTTCCATCGTTGGTCATATCCTCGGCCTCGGCGACCGGCATACCTCCAATATCCTCCAGGACATGACGAATGGAGAAGTCGTTCACATAGATCTTGGGATCGCATTCGACCAGGTCAGTATGTAATCCCTTCTCTGCGTGCAAGTGGTCTGATCACTGTGCGGCAGGGCAAGCTTCTTCCCGCACCCGAGCGTGTTCCGTTTCGCCTGACCGCCGATATGGTGGATGGTCTTGGGACTTCGGGTGTGGACGGGGTCTTCCGCCGATGCGCGGAGGAGACGCTCCGCGTGTTAAGAGAGGAGCAAGAGGTCATCTTGACCGTCCTTGAAGTATTCAAATACGATCCCTTGCACTCCTGGTAGGCACTCACGTTGTCTAAAATTCAGCTTCACACTCACCTGATTATAGGACTGCCAGCGAGATGAAGCTCAAACAAGCGCAGTCCCGCACGGATGTCACCTCTGAACTCACCGAGGCGGCATTCAAGTTCGCTGTCGGACTGGATCTTTCCGCTGGGGCTGCAGACGAAGCCGCAGATCGTGCTCTGAGCTCTGTACAGCGGAAGCTCGACAAGACGAACAGCGTTGAGTTCACCGTCAACGACCTCATTCAGCAAGCAACCGATGTTTTCAGCCTGGCGAACATGTTCCATGGTCAGTGTCTCAGCAGTACAAAAAATGCTCGACTGCGATTGATTTATTTCCTCCAGGTTGGACTCCCTATTTGTAGATCTGATACACGTGCATACCCACAGCCCCGTTCTATACCTACGTCGTCTGCTATCGAAACCTTCCGCTCTCGAATTTATAACTGCTCGCATCGATCTATAGATTATTATCTACTTTCGCAACTCAGGCGCAATAGTAATACAAGCAAGAAACTCTCTGAAAGTCCGAGCAAGAGAAAATGTACATGCGATAACGCCAAATCCTCAGGCGCGTCAAACGCTGTACGGCTGTCGGCATCACCGTACGCCTCAGCCTCTTTGAAACGCACGGGTACATAGCTCGAGCGGACATCCTGCGTCCGCGCGCCGCCCTTGACGAAGCCATACTGGCACGCGGCGAGGGCGATGGCGCAGATGAGAACGCGGATGAGCGCGCAGAGCTTTTCTGACCGCGGCCGCTACGCCGTCTCCGGCCGTGGAATCGTCATCGCTGTTCGGGATATCTACAAGCGTCTTCAACCGGCGCACGAGGCGGTGAACCTGGCAGGCCACAATGAGCCACGCCGCATTAATGAGGGCCGTCGTCGTGACGAGCTGGACAAAGCTCTGGACGAAGCATACCGTGACTCGACTTGAATATTGCAGTGGTCACCTACCAACCAATACAGCCAACGATACACACAGTATCCAGGAAGTCGGCAATGATAGAAGTATATTGCGTGTCAATAAGCGGACTACTAGTTCGCACAAAGGATGTACGGCACAACACGATTGTGACAGACTCCCTTGTATGGAGTCAGCACTCAAGGTGCCCGACTGTACGTTGATTAGACGACAGAAGTTGTATACTCTTGGCGATTCACCAGAACCGAATGCAGGGTGGATGCGTAGAGCACTGCTCGGGCAGAAAGACGCCATCGCACGCGTACAAATGAGAAAAGAGAGAGGAGCAGGATGAGTAGCAGACATCCGACAAACCGCGAGATGAATAACAAGAAGGTGAATTGCAGAGTCTTGATGGTGTCGGGTGCTGGCGGAAGATTGAAGATGGGCGTCGAATCCAGGAGGAAATTTTCGCATTATATTTGGGCGCCAATTAAGCTGATCTCCCGCGCCACCATGCCTACGCGCGCTTGTGATTGACACACTTTTCCTGCAACCCGCAATGCCAGCGAAACCCCGGGTTGTCATCACCAGCCATAGTGCGGTAAGGAACATCCAAGGACCAGCGGTGGGTAAGTATAGCACAGACAAGTCTCGTTTTCTGGCGCTCTGTCTGCGCCTTCGGACGTCTTTCGGGCAACCTCGGACAGGCTGCAAGCCACTGCATTCTTACAACTTGCTCCGCCACGATTGGCTTCGGGGGGCGGGCCAGCTTCTCAGCGCACCTGACTATACTCGTCGCCCCGAACGCCGACGTTTAATTTCAGCGACCTGTGCAGGCCCGGGTGAGACAAGCTGGCTCCTAACTGCCGGCGCACCGCAGAGGGCACGCTGCCGAGAACTTGCAGGCACAAGTCGCGGACGTTGATCAGCCTGGATGTGCAGAGCAGCAGACCGAGGTGTGGGAATCATGCAGGATAGAGTTGAGGATTTGGCGTCGATGCTCCAAACTTTTGCCGCCGGGGCAGGGGAACGGGAGTGAGCTATGCTCCGAGGGCCTCGATCGCCCGCTTTTACCGTTCCGACGAGTCTCGACGTCATTGCCTCTAGCTCTCGCCAAAACAAGCCGGAGTGCGATTGCAAAAGCGTATATTAGGAGCGAGCCCGCGCCATCGCTCCCTTCCCCCGCATGCTGCACACCCGCCTCTCTCTTCTCCCTCGCCACGACCCCGCAATAGACAGCAAATACACGGAGCGCCATCGTCTCTCGTTCACACACACACGCCTCCTATGAGCATACGCACACACACGATGCTGCACCACCACGCCCATGACGCACCCGCGCCGGGCACCGAAAAGGATCTCGTCGCCTTCCCAACGGACAGCCACGACGAGCCAGCCCACAACGGGCCAGAGTACTGGGACGGTCGCTCCGCCCCGCCGCGGCATCGCACGGTGCGCAGGAAGAAGAGCTCCTTCGACCTGCGGCACGTCTTCAAAAATGGGGA